TTTTTTAAAATATATGTGAGGCAGCGTGGTAAAATCAGGTGCTCGTCAAAATCCAGAAATTGGAGGAATCGACATTTCCCGAAAGTTTTGAAATATTCATCGAATTTTTATGTTGTGCTCAACCAACCTCTTTTGTGTAGATATAAAACACATTTCCGTGTAAATTTTACTGAAAAACATTGATTAAAGGAACAAAATATATCGTTTTTCTGTTTTCAAGGACTCTTTAGCTATTGGAATTACCAAACTTTGAAGGTCATTTTCTCGCTAATTCGACCACTGAAACCTCACTTCCTTTAATCGCAAATATCTTGAGATCTATTCAAGATAGATGGATAGTTGTTTTATTGAAAGCAAGGCAAATAAATCACATTTCAGATGATACGGATAACTCCACATGCCCAAAATTTGACAAGCGCCTGATTCCACTGCATCGTGACACATATATTTATTTTATTCTCACTGTGGTTGTTAGATTTACATTAGATTATTTTCAGCTACACAAACACCTGTGGTCTTGGACCTACAAGGAGGGGGTGGTCGCCTGGTGGGATCTTTTTCTCTCCCCCCAACCCCCCCATCTCATTTTTTTAAAATGATATGTGAGGCGTGCTGACAAAGTGAGTTACTTCTCGCAATCCACAAATAGAATCTAGAGATATTGGCCTAAAATCGACACCAGGGTCAAATTTGTAGATTTTCTATTGATGGCATATTCTTTAGGTACGAAATGCCTTTTATTATTTCATACTTATAATTTGCAAAATCTTCACCTTTAAGCGGGATGTATCTTATTTCCATAGAGCTCGAATCAAGAAGTAGCTCATTTTGTAAGCACACTTCACACATATTTATTTTATTCTCACTGTGGTTGTTAGATTTACTGTAGATTATTTTGAGCTACACAAACACCAATGGTCTTGCACTTACAATGAGGGGGTGGTCGCAAGGTGGGATCTTTTGGTTTTTTTTCCTCCCCTTCACATTTTCTGATTACTTGTGGTATGATGCGGTGGAATCAAGCGCTCATCAATATTTGGACATTTAGGGTTATTGGTATTATCTTAAAGCCGGTTTATTTGCATTGATTTTGGTCAAAAAAATATCAATCTATGTTTTATAGAAGTCGAGATATTTGCAATTGAAGGAAGTGAGGATCGCCTGCTTTCATAAGTAAGATTAGCGAGAAAATGGCCACCAAGGTTTGGTAATTTCCATAGCTTCAGCGTCCTGGGAAACTGAAAATTTACAGTTTTTGTGCCTTTAATCAACGTTTTCCAGTAAAATCAACATGAAAATGTGTTTGTAAATGGACATAAAAGGTGTCGAGCCAAAAAACGAATTGTAGAAAAAAAATTACCCAAAGGCCAGAAAAATGCCCGTTTCTTTGATTTCCTTATTTTGGCGGACGCTTGATTTTTTATATTTAGATTGTTTTTAAGCACGTTTGTTTTAAAATAATATTATTTCATCGACCTGCTGTTCAGATGTATCAAGCTAAAAATTTGTTCGGTTGCAATCACTTAATCTGTGGTACCAGTTGCATGTACTACAGATAGCCTCTATACTGAATATAAATTCAAATTCTAAGTGTTTAACACTTTGCCGCTACATTTCGCTGATCTGCGGTGTTTACCACCTGGTTTGTTTGGATTTTCCCCCAAATGCCTCTGCCTTTTGATGACAAAAGTTTTTACAGATATGAGCCTTGTGATGGAAAAGTGTTAAAAAAGTTTGAAAATGTTCATAATGTAACCTTCTGCACACATTCCTGCTTGCTAGTTTATTCCTCCCTTTCTCTTTTATTTCATTTTTAAAAATTTTTTTTGTCTTTAGTTTTGTGTTTCGCTCTTTTTTTTCTTATCTTATTTTATTTTTTGTCTAAAAAAAAACAACAACACATATAATGACAGCATTTTGTACCCCACTGTAAAACTAGTCCCGCTTTCAAATAGTGTTTTCTCCTTGTGCGTGTGTGTGTGGGTGTGTCTGTAACGACAACATTTTTTTACCCACCTGTTAAACAAGTCCCCTTTTTCAAAGAGTGTTTCCCCCTTGTGTGTGTGTGTTTGAGCAGGTGGATGAAGGAGGATGACTACTGCGACAAGATGCGACGCATCGCTCGCTTCAGCAAAGGCCCGCGTCTGCTGGACATCATCGACACCTCCATCTTTGACTACCTCATCGGCAATGCTGACCGCCACCACTACGAGACGTTTGAGGGATACGACGACAGCATGCTCATCATACTGGACAATGGCAAGAGGTTCGTTAACTTCTTTTATTTATTTTTTCTTCTGGTCTTGAGGTTTAACACTTTTCACCCTCGTAGCGCGCAGGGCGTCCAACACTTATCCCCGAGGACCAGGATACAGGTGCGGTACACTCTATATCGCCCCGTCGCCGATCGGCGTCCTGTGGGGAAAAGGGGCTGCTTCTTACCGTCGCCGATCGGCGGCCTGTGGGGGCATGGTGTTAATACTTTGATATCAAAGTCTATGGTGTGTTGGTAAAGCTCTTTGTCATGCGATGGGAGATCTAATTTGTTTTTTTACAAACCTATAATATATGAGGTTTCTGTTTCTGTTAAACTCTGTGCATTGAGTGTGATTAGAGAAGACGTGAAATGTCGAATAATTGTGTGTGAGTTGTTTGCCGATTTTCTTTACCTGTGGTTTTGTGGATGTTTTTCTATGCGAGTTGTTCGGAGATTTACTTAACTTGTGGTTTTATTGGTGAGGTGTGACTCATTTGCGGCATCCATAGTCCATTGGTCAAGCTACCATGCTCGTAATTGTGGGGTTAGGTGGGGAATTCAAGGGTTGGAGGCCTGAGCTTGTGTCCTTGGGACCCTGTGGGTGGTTGGCGGGTGCCTAGTGGGTGTGGTTTGCTTCTTCTTTCCTATCAAACATCTATTGTCTTTATCTACCTTCCTTCTTTTTCGTGTTTGTTACTCTCTTGTAACACCTCTAATCTTCAAAGCTTATACGACCTTATTGTGTTGCAAGTGCCGTGAAACATGTACTAAAACTAAAACTTTCCTTGGGACAGGCACTGTACATAAAGTTTTTTCTCTCTTTATCCAGGTGAAAATAGGGCCCAACTGTAGATGCTGAAAAATTTGTTACTAGATGTATCTGAAGAACGCTTAATTGGCTGTTTGCACTGTATGCTACCCAAGTCTGCCTGGGTGATAGTAGTTGTGAAGCACATACAGCCTGCTATGGAACATGAATATATGAAT